TTAGTCAAAATATCAAATGGCCTGAATGACAACAAAAGGCAAAAATGCCTTGCCACGGAACGTGTTAACCGATGAAAAAAAAATGGACACAGGGTTACGGAGTGTCGACGTATGCACCGGCGAAAATAGACTTGGGAGGGTTGTTCCTGGGCGCTATCATAGGGATTGGATCCATTCTCATCATACCGAAGCTGCTCTACATCCTTTCCGGCACTTACGGCCATTACGCGAGAAGTAAGACAGCTTTGCTTTGAAAGAAAGAGAAGAAAGAATAACCGCTGATATGTAATAATCTTTGTTTCTCAGGCGAGGAGAGCGGTTTCGGGCAAATCGTGACGAAGATGGACGACGTCTTGGCCCATCACGGCATCGACACAACATCCTGCATGCAACGTGCCGTCTGTACCTACTCGCAACAGGCCTCCACGTCGGTGAAAGAGGCCAACAAGCTGAACGACGACGAGAAAGTCTCGTCGTTCGACCGTGTGATCGACACGATCACGACGAATCAGATCTTCCGCACGGCTATGGAAGGTACCGCGATACAGGAGGCGGTGGAAGCCGGCAGAGCCGGTCGAAACTGTTCGCGGGCGTATCCACATTGCGGATTCTCCATGGAAACTATGCTGTCCCTCTTATCGAACGTGATTACCGCAGTAGCCGCGATTAATACAGGCACCTCGACAGCCACCGGGGCTGCGACGTTGTAATTGCCGAGGGTCGGAATTGCTCTGTTGTCCAATGCAAGATTTTCAGACACTGAGAATGGATTTAAAAAAAAAAAAAAAAAAAAAAAAAGAAAGAAAGAAAGGAAAGAACAAATTGCAACAGATTTCGTTTTACGTTTTATTTGAACCAGAGAAGAAAAGTGAAATTGTTCCCACGCAAAGAGTGACAAAGAGTCGTTGGTTTCGCGCGGCTTAGCTTATAACTGGCGACAACACTCCTCCGGCGTAGACTCTTGTTCTTTACACGATCTTCGTGTAAAGACAAATCGCATTTCCTCGTCTCTTAGTGTACAACGTTGTACATTGTTCCACGATCTCCCGGATCTCTAGATACAATATCTTTCACAGCGTATATAAATATAGAATTTTTTTTCCATTAATTAAAATATATGTGACTCGGCGCGCGAGGTTTCGATTCCTCCAGGACAAGAGAGTTAGAGTGAAAAATTTTCTAAAAGTCGCGATAATACGATGATATCGTTGCACATTGATATCGCGAGACGTCGACGTTGGAATTGAAACTTATAGAAAACATCGAGAGAATCTTCGACGAATTTTCATTTGTTAATTTATAGATCACTAGGGCACTATGATAAAATGCAATTTAATT